AATAGCCTATGTTAAATCTGTAGTGAAATATTTCTTCTAATTATGTAGTTATTAAAAATTAAAAAAATAATGATTAAAAAATTCAGAAGGAAATGTACTAACTTAAAAACCCCTGAAACATGCACATACAATATCTGAACATGAGTGCATGCGTATATCTGAAGATTATATAACAAGGAATATAAGAGCAGAGAGGAGCAATCTCTTTTTGAATTTTTGGTTAGGGTAGTCCAAGAGATTCCCAAATAACATAGGCTATTGCCATAGCCCTTGATTACTTCCCAGAACTTGAAAGTAAGACCCTATTGCTGAAGACAGGACATCCTTTGGACACAGGCCTTGGAGTAAGGGAGCTGGAACCAACCTAGAAGCCTTTGCCCTGAAGACTAGCTCTCATAGTTCTAGAGGATACAATGCAAGATGCTAAGTGAGAAAATCAATCAACAGTTCGACCTAGCTCTAATGCCAGGTAACCACTATGACTGGCACAGCAAAATATCTCTACTGTTGCAACAGTAACACTTTTACCTTGAGGGCAATGAACGGCTACCTAATTGAACTTAAATCCCTCTCAGTGGGAAAAATCTTATGGGAGGCACTGTACATATAACCAAATAAATGGGTAAAATATCCTAGAGAAAACCCTATCTCTGTCATATCTCTAGACAAATGAAAATTCTGTACACTAAATATGGATCCTTATATTTTCAGACAAGTGTACCATACACCACACATCAAAGAAGCTTCTTTTTGCAACAGATGAAGGCTATTACAGAGTTCCACAACTGACCACACACAGAGAATATATATCTGAAAGATGCCAAACCCTAAATGGCATATCTACAGTGGAACCTTTACATCTAAGTCTCATGAAACGTAGCAGAACATGGGATAGAGAGAACACTAACATACCCCTCAACTCTCGCCATGGAAACTTCCTCATACAACAGAGTGTGATGCACACAGAAGGACACAACTGGCTAAATTTTAGAAAGTAAGAAACTGCAGAGATCATTTCCCTCAATAGGTCTCCTATACTAAACTTCATCCACCCATGGTTCAGGAACCATTGTGGGAGAAGGGGTAGAAAGACTGTAAGAGCCAGGGTTGGTGTGTGAACATAAGGAAACAGAGGCTTTCAGGCCACTGGGAACTTGCTTATATGAACTTGCAACAATGGTGACAGCATGCACAAGACCCATGCTGTCTCAATCTGACAAAAACTCAGCATAGGACGAGGAAAATGGCTGCTCCAACCCTAGCCTAGGAACTATTGGCAACCAATTACTGCTGGATTAGGAAGAGGAGATCTTCTTTAATGGAGTGACTCTAGATAGGCTGACTAGCCTAATGAACTTGCACTGAAGGACATCTGGATACAAATGCTTGACTGGAAATGACTTAACGCATATGATAGAATATGGTGAGGGGGGATATGGGAGTGCAAAAGGGGAAGGGGGTCTAAATTTGATTAAGATCTATTATGTGAAATGCGCAAAAACCCAATACAAATAT